GCCAGGAGCAGCCACTGCACTCCAGTCTGGGTGACAGAGCGAGACTCCAACTCAAAAAAAGAAAAAACCAAAAGAAACTAGAGAAAGGGAAATCAGCTGAATACTCGTAGAAAGAGTATTAAGTAGTATTTAGAGTTGTAAGTATTAACTACCTTCAAAAATTGTACATATACATTTATAGTAGAAACATACAATTATAAAGAAGTTCAACCACTATTTATTAAAAAAAGATGGCATCTATTAACTTTTCTTCCTTAGGGGGCTACATTTGTTCATTTCTAGCAGTAAAATCAACTTCCAATGACATGATTGAATTGTTCCTAAATAAAATTTTTAAGTGTTTACTAAACTAATATCTCAATTTTGTTTTTCTTTTTTCTTTCTGTTTGTATGGTAGGCAGAGGGCCTGAGTCTCATCAATAGGTTAAAACTTACCTTCACTTTTGGGCCATCTAAGCTCTTCCCAAACTCCAGACTCCTATCTCCAGCAGTGTACTTGACATCTGCATTTTGGGGATGCAATAGCATCTCAAACCTATCTTATTAAAATCTAAACTCTTTATTTCTTCACCTCTTGGGCTGCCCCTGTGCCGTTTTCTACTTCATTAAATGGAAATTCCATCCCTCCACTTCCTGAGGCCTCAGCATAGTAAGTCAAAGGGCTATCCTCGGTCCTTCATTCTATCTCACACCTTCTATCAGATCCGCCAACGGTCTCTGTTGCCTTCAACACACTCACCATGCCTGACACTTGTACTCTCTATATGTTCCATGCTGAATGAGCTGCTGTCCACACAGCCCTGGCTCCCATGTTGACTCCTTGCTTCAACTCCTTGCTTCAGTTCTTGTTTCTGCACAGCAAACCATCATGGGAGTACTTGGCTCACATTCCAGCTTTTTGTACTGCTATTCTTCAGAGCCTTAATTATATGCACACTTGTGTGAGCCTTTCACACTTATTACACAATTCTTACGACAAAAATAACAATGAAGACTTACATTGTCACTCAAAAAGAAGTAAAACATAGTTATACTTTCTTACCAAACTCTTTCCAATCACCTTCTTTTCCTAACTCAAAGGGAATCATCTTCCTAAATTTACTGTTTATTAATTTCATATATCTTTATATTATGTTTGTGTCCCTGAGCACTGTATGATATTGTCTTGCATGCTTTTAAACTTAAAGAATTCAAACCTTTACACTTATAAAAGATACAATGAATTCATTCATTTGCAATGTTATTTTAAACAAACTATGCCTTACATGTTCAAGGAATTCAAAGAAAAAATGGAGGATTTCAGCAGAAGCTTGACACTGTAAGAGAGAACTAAATGGAAAATTTGGGCCTGAAAAATAACACCATAAACCAAGAAGACAATATGTGAATTTAACAGTAATTTAGACACAGCAGAAGAAAGAATCATTGAATTGAAGACATGTCAGAAACATATCCAGACTGAAGCACAGAGAGTTGAAATAATTGAAAATACAAGAACGACCAAAAGAGATTTATGGGAAAGGTGAAAAGGTTTAGAAAGTAAGTAATTAAGGTTCCAGTCAAAAATGAGAAAGTAAGGCAGAAACAATATGAAAAGAGAGGACAGCTAAGCATATCCAAAACTTTACAAAGGCATTGAACTACAAATTTAAGAGTTACTATCAATTCCAAGCAGAATAAGCATGAAGAAAACACACATAAATGCACATCATTGTAAAGTTTTAAATGCTTACTAAACTAATATCTCAATTTTGTTTTTCTAAATACCACAAAGAAAAATCTAAAAAGTAACCAAGAAGTTGGTTAATGGGTACAATATACACTTAGAAGAAATTAGGCCAGGTATTCAATAGATAATTGGGAGGACATTTCAAAATAACTATAAGATAATTATTTAAATATTCCTAGTGTAGGGGCCAAAGTTCTTGACTCCCTGAAAGTTTGTTGAAAAATCGGCTCAATCTGGGAGGCCGAAGCGAGAGGATTGCCTTAGCTCAGGGGTTCGAGACCAGCCTGGGCAAGTTGGTTGGACCTCGTCTCTACAATAAATCATAAATTAAGCATGCGCCTGTGGTTCCAGCTACTCGGAAGTCTAAGGTGGAAGGATCACCTGAACCCAGCTGGTCGAGGCTGCAGTGACCAGATGCATGCCCTTGCACTCCAGCCTGGGCGATGGAGTAAGACTCCAACTCAAAAAAAAGTCAACTTGATTTTTAATTGGGATTCATAAGGCAAATAACATGCAAATTTATTTAACATACATACATGGGGCCTTTGGAATGAAGACTCAAAAATACAGGGGGATTTGACTACTTTTTTTTTTTTTTTTTTTGAGTTGGAGTCTTTTGATGAAGTCTCGCCAAGTTGCCCCAGGTGGGTCTCGAACCCGTGGGCTCAGGCAATCCACTCACCTCAGCCTCCCAAAGGCGCGGGATTACAGGCTGAGCCACCAAGCCTGGCCAAATTTGACCACTTTTATGCTTAGGTTCAACAAACTATAGAAAGCTGTGGCAAAATATGATTGGACAAAAAGGGTATGACCTAATGCTAACAGACTAGGGAAATTCAGCAAGGCATGTCTATATTCTTCTTGGAATTTTGATTGGGTTGTCATTTTATTATTGAGTTCTAACAATTCTCATTTATATTTCTCCAGAATAGGGGTCTTAAGACTTACAGTTAAACAAGAAAGGTCAGAGAATTTATTTATGACCAGTTTTTACATAGAAAGGTGGAGGAAAAGCTAGAGTAATAATTTTAGGTTTTGTGGCTGGCTTTGAGGAAAAGGGATTCTGGTTTCTATGACCTGCCTTGGGGAAGAGAGATTCTAATTTCTATGTCCAGCATCAGGGAAGAATGGAACTAAGAGGAGACCAAGAGAAGGGAAGAAAAAAAATTTGTTTCTGTGTTCTTCATTTTGGGATATTTATATTCTGAGTTCCAACCTTGGCAAAAGATAGTTAAGGTGATGGATATCCTAATTACCTTGACTTGATTATATGAACGTATCAAATATTACATGTACCCTAAAATTTATACATCTATTGCATATCAATTTTCTTAAAAGTAGATGAGAACTGTTAGAACTCAATACTAAAATGACAACCCAATCAAAAAATGGACAAAAGATTTCATTTATTTCACCAATAAAAACATATGGATGCCAAATAAGGACAGGAAAAGATGTTCAGTATTTTAAATAACTAAGGAAAGCAAACAGAAACCGAAAATGAGATATTGCTACACAATCTCTAGCTAAAATTAAAACAGTTGTCCCTAACCAAGTGTTAGTGAGGATGCAGAGCACATGGGACTCTACACTGCTGCTGGGAATGTAAAATTGAATAGTCACTTTGGAAAACATTGTGGCATTTTAACTTCTAGCCCACAGATTTTATTCCTCGATGTTTGTCTAGGAGAAACAACAATATGCATCCACACAAAGTCTAGTATCATGTTCATGGTAGCTTTATTCGTGACAGCCCCAAACTTGAAGCAATCCTAAATGTTTATCATCTGAAATACTCAGCAAAGACTATTGAAATGAACTATTGATACATCAGCAACATGGATGTATCTCAAAAGCATTTTGCTTAGCGTCAGAAGTCAGACACAAAAGACTAAATACTATATGAATCCATTTACATAAAATTCCTCAAAAGGCAAATTATAACAATGGAAAGCAGATCAATATCTGTCAGGTGCCAAGGATTGAGGGAAGAGACTTGACTGCCAAGATTGACAAGGGAACACCTTATCATGATGTTAGATTTAATAAATTTACAACAAAGACATAAAACTTATGCCTATCAATAGAACTGTTAATCAGTATTTATCAAGCTAAGTTATATTAGGTAAAAATAGAAATAGACAAAAGTAGAAATATAAAAAAACAGATTAAACCCCTTCTCTCAGTGTACTGCCGATCAAGTAGACAAAAACAAATAAACTATGTATGCCATATAAAAATAAAATGGATCCACTTGATTTGAGACTGTATTCTGAAATTAGACTGCCTGTTCATATCAAGTATCCTTTCACAAAAATTGACTATAATGCCACAACAATGTGATTTAAACTTTTCATGAAAATTATAGGCTAAAAAATACTCTACAAACGACCTGCAGAGCTACTGAAGTTATGCTCTTGGATAGTACCATGCTAATTGTCACCTTTCTCACAGGCAAGCGATCCTGATGTATACAGAAGCATGGATTCTGAAAGAATGTTCAATTCGTTTGAACACAAATCAATTCTTGAACAGTACATTTTTATCATATAGATTTCACAATTTGGGGGGAGAATTAAATGATATAATGAACGTGAAAACTCTTGCAACCTCCCAAGTGATCAGAAGCAGAACTAGAGTTGGAATACAGGAATAACTGGTCTTGTCACTCTCTGCAGGTGTTGCATCTTTGACAAATTGCAGGTTTGTGGCAACTGTGCATTGAGCAAGTCTATCTGGATAATTTATCCAACAGGATGTGCTCACGTCATGTCTCTGTGTCATATTTTGGTAATTTTCAATATTCTAAACTTTATTATTATATCTTTTGTGGTGCTCTGTGTTCACTGACCTTTGATGTTACTACTGTAGTTGTTCTAGGGAGCCATGTGCCGTGCCCATATAAGATGGCAAGCTTAATAAATGGTGTGTGTGTTCTGAGTGTTCCACCAACTGGCTGTTCCTCCTTCTTTCTCCCTCTCTTCAAGCCTCCTTATTCCCTGAGGCACAACAATATC